TAATGGTTAGATTTTATTTATCTTGGAATAAATGTAGATTTAGAACTGTTGATACATTATTTAGAAATCATCTGTTAATATTTGAAATTATATTAGAAGGCTAAAATTGGTCTTTTCTCTAAGATTTGCTAATAAATCCTTTTATAAAAAATGTAATAGGTAGCTTATTATTTGTTTTTGTTAGGTATCTGTTATTTTTATATTACATCTTTACCTTAAATTTTTTTAGGTTAAAAAACTTAGCCTTATCAGATAAATTGAATTTAGACATTTTAATATCATCCTCACCTCTATTCGTTCCTCCTATTTTATTCACAGGGATTTTCTAGGATGTCTTCTGAGATAGGAAGGGAAAAGAGCCAGGACTGGGGCTCAGCTGGACTAGGAGGAGTATTTAAGGTGGAGTGGATACAAAAAGAAAGTCTTCCCTTTCAGTTTGCACACCATTTACTCAATCCATGGAATGACAACAAGAAAGTCCAGATAAGCAGAGATGGACAGGTATACAATGGGACATTTAAAATTTTTTCTTTTACTTTCATTTCTCTTTTGTTTTGCTGTTATTCAATGCTTTGAGGAGAAAAAGTAGGAATACAAATTGTTATATTTTATATGCACATGGGAAACAGTGGTTCAGATACGTAAAAAGCTGCTAAAAACCTACTTGCAAAGGTGTCTGATGGCTCATTGCATTTTTAACATTTTGTAAATTTGGCTTCTCTCTGTCGTTGCATATATAAAATATTTTATAAGTTACTTCATGGAGGCTCCTGTTGTCTTACTAACTAAACATATGATCAAGACTGAGTGCAGTTCTGAGGTAATTTGACTAAACTCAAGATGACAACAGTATTTAAGTTCTCTATGGCTTTATTATGTAAGGTAAATAACCTTTATATATTGTAATGGCTTGCTTTATTTCTATTTTGTTTTGCTTTGCCTTCACTATACCACTTACATGCATTTAAAGCTAGTTAAGGTGATGGGAATTAATATATATTGGCCAAATACTGTGCTAACTTCATTATAAGATATTATTAATAAAATGAGTTATTAGTTTAGTTTTTTTTCTTTTTTGAGACAGAGTCTCACTTTGTTGCCCAGGCTAGAGTGAGTGCCGTGGCATCAGCCTAGCTCACAGCAACCTCAGACTCCTGGG